CAGTTCAGAGAGGGGGAGTGGCCTGGGCCTGGGCCAGCCTTGGAGCAGCCGGGATTGGTTTGTTGAAGGGGGGCGGAGTTGGACTGTTTGGAGGGAAAGAAAGAAGCTTCTTAGGGAGTCAGTCTGTTGATGTTAGAGTTAGAGCAGGGTTACAGAAGCTTTTAGGAGTTCGTGTTAAGAATAGGCAGTTTGCCTGAAGTTTGCCAGCGAATTAAGCTGTGGCAAACTGGGTACAGCTATTTAGAGAAGGAATAGCTGGGTTTTTATATTTGTAACCAAGAAAGAACCATTCTCATGCAACCGTTACGCTTTCAAGAACAAGAACATTTTATCTGTAACAGCCAAGCTTATTAAACTGCATTCACTTCATTCTGTACTATATTAAATAAACTTTCCTTGTTTTTTTTTTAAACTTAAGCCTGAGTCAAGTGTACATTTGTGGATTTAGTCCCTTTTCCTTTACAACCTCACCTGTTTTCCTTCAAAGAAGCCATTTAAAAAAACACACAGTACTTGGTGGTCTAAAAAGCCTTTTAACAGTTTAACCAGCTAGAGTGCTCCTGTACTTATACTTATGGTGGCAGCGGAAGTTAAATAGAGAGTCATCTCCTCAAACATTCTATTGGTGCCAAAGTGGTGTAAATTCTTTATTAAAAGGAGGGACAGTTGGTGGGATTGTTTGATCCCCCTGCCCAGACAGCTATAAAGCAAGACTTTATAATTTGGTGTCAGATGGTGGGATTGATCGTATTGCCATCTGCAAGTCTTTATATGGCTCAACCCATTACGCAAAGTAAGCATTCGCAGTATAGTTGATTTTGCCCAGGGGCGCTCTTTAGGCGATCTTGGGGGAAAATAGACCCTGACATATGTGAGTTGTAGTTACTGGGATGTATAGTTCACCTACAATCAAAGAGCATTCTGAACTCCACTAATGATGGAATTGAACCAAATATGGCACACAGAACTCCCATGATGAACAGAAAATATATATCAATGATTGGTTGGGGGGGAGGCACCAAAATACTGTTTGCTTACAATTGAAAATTACCTAGGGCCGCCTCCGCCTCCAGTCAATCAGATTGAACTTCTACATTCAATTTTATTGGCAGCTTCTTCACCATTCACACCTCTTCCCCCATGCAAAGCATGCTGTAAAGAAGGCAACTGCAGCCCCATGGACACACAGCAGTCTCAACTATGAACTGCTGATTTTGCAGTGGCCCGTCTGGTAAAGTCAGACAGAGAAAATATTCACACAATATGTCTAGCAACATTTTTATGTACAAAGCCAAGATATCACAGAAAGTCCAGTCAGACATCACTGCCTGCCACTTAAAACCCTCTGGTGTTTTGTGGATACAACAACTCTATAATTTGTTTAAACCTGGTTGTCCGAAAACACCACGACAGTCAATAAAAACAAATGGAACACAAGATGGGGAAACCAATGGGCAGGAGAAGTCATTGCCTTGTACTGCACTTTATCATCTCAAAAGGCTCCTCTAACCCATGGTTACTAGGGCTGGGCGGTTTCATTTCGTAATTTCGTAATTCGTTAAAAATTCGTTATTTTTTTTTATAACGAAGCGATATTGAACCATTCAGGAGCAACTAAAAAACGAAACGAATTTTTCCAATTCGTTTCGGAATTGATTCGTTATTGATTCGTTATTGATTCGTAAATGTTTCGTTATTATTTCCGCATGTCTGGTGCAAGTTTTAGGGTTGCTGTTTGTTTTCTCAGTGAAAAAAAATATAATTATCACACCAACAGTCAACAACAGAGGGAGAGGGAAGCTTCAGAAGTTTTTTTAGTGTATTGCGCGATCGCGGCCGCCATTAACGAATCGATTCGTAATCGATTCGTAATTGTTTCATAATTGTTTTATGATTTCCGAAATTTCGTAAATATCGAACTTTTTTTAAGGAAAATTTCAGAATTCTTTTAAATAACAAAACGCAAAAAACCCCTAAAAACTAATCGAGTTTAGAAACAAATTTTTCCGTGTTTGGACAGCCCTAAGGTTACCATTGCATTTTATGTCTGAAGCTTTAGTCTTAGTGCATCACTGAGAGCTTCTGCCAACAACAGAATGGATCCACGGCTGTAGATTTAATCACAGTATTAATCATGACACCCCCCGCTTTCTGTTGAATGATCATATCCAAAGTGTTCCCTGTGACTGACTTGGTTTGTGTATCCAGTAAATGTAGAGCCCCCCTCTGGACAAATTCTGCCAAAAAAAACCATTATACATTTGCCTTAGAGTCATCATTAGGCAGAAATGACTTGAAGCCACACCATAACAACAAATCCAATGAATGCCTCTCTCTCCGTTTCCCTCTTTCTCTGTGATTGACACAGAGATTCATGCATATCACCTGAGGCAATGGTTGCCTCCCAATTCACAGAGTAAATCTGATTTTCTAGTAGCTCTGACTAAACTGAGAAAAACATAAAGCCAGATAGCATGAATAACAAGTTTCAATATCAGCTGTTGCTTATTATTTGGAGTTGTGGTAACTTTTTACCATTTTCCAGGTCATATTTAAATATGTTTTGAAACAAACAACAAAATTTCATGCACCTATTTCTTGAAATAGCTATGTTATCATCATCGTAATTATAGGCTTACTTTCTTTGCGAACATCACGAAGTGCAGCATTCAGTTCATCCACAAACACTGGGGCCTCCTTAGCAATTTTCTCCCCTTTGTCCAGCAAGTTCCAGGTGGCTTCTTCAATAGAAGCAAGGATAACACGGGCTCTTTTTGAACATCCTTTTTTCTTGTTTGAAGGGTTCTGAGGGCAATTCATTAATGTGGTGACCTAAAATAGAAAACCATTTTCAATACCTTCGATTATTTTCTGAAAGAGGTTACATTTCTCAGATTCCAGTTAACAAAAGATAACAAGTACAGTTAATAAAAAAATAGCAAGGACTTCGAACAATGATTGTTAAAGCTCTTAAAGCTATATAATATATGATCCTTGATCTGAGGCAAGGCATTTCAAAAGCAATCCAAATGGATACCAAGTCCTAGCTTTTGGAGACAAATGGACACACACAGTTTAATTAGGTAATCAAGAACACAAATTCAGACTGAAAATTTCTGCAACACTGACTAAAGGTGTGAAATGTCAATGAAATTGAATACTGTGCACACAGAAGGACACAGAGGCACATTGCCCAATAATTCTAAAGATTTTTACAAGCCACTGTTGTTCATTTGTTCAGGCACTTCCGACTCTTCGTAACCTCATGGACCAGCCCACATGAGAGCTCCCTGTTGGCCATCACCACCTCCAGCTCCTTCAAGGTCAAGCCAGTCAATTCAAGGATACCATCCATCCATCTTGCCCTTGATTGGCCCCTCTTCCTTTTTCCTTCCATTTTCCCCAGCATCATTGTCTTCTCTAAGCTTTCCTTTCTTCTCATGATGTGGCCAAAGTACTTCATCTTTGCCTCTAGTATCCTTCCCTCCAATGAGCAGTTGGGCTTTATTTCCTGAAGTATGGACTGGTTGGATCTTCTCGCAGTCCAAGGCACTCTCAGAACTTTCCTCCAACACCACAGTTCAAACATCTATCTTCCTTCGCTCAGCCTTCCCTATGGTCCAGCTCTCACATCCGTAGGTTACTACGGGGAATACCATTGCTTTGACTTTGCAGATCTTGGTTGCCAGTGTGATGTCTCTACTCTTCACTATTTTATCGAGAATGGTCATTGCTCTCCTCCCAAGAAGTAAGTGTCTTCTGATTTCCCGGCTGCAGTCTGCATCTGCTTAAATTTTTGCACCTAGAAATACAAAAATCTGTCACGGCCTCCATGTTTTCTCCCTCTATTTGCCAGTTATCAATCAGATATCAGTTATCAAGCCACTAATCATTCTGAAAAACCTGGCTTTTCCAATGCGTTTTTGGAGAGTAACCATACTATCATACACAGTTGCTCCCCCTTAATATTTTTTTGTCCCCAGAGTATATTTACCCACCTGTATGAAGGTCTATTTTTATGACCCTGTTCCTTTATGAGTTTTTCCCTCACAAACAATCTGCTCCATCCCTATCTCATTCTGATTTTAGTATTTTTAGTATTTTAGTTTTTTAACTTACACATGCTCACTGTTATTTTATTGTGTTTTGTACTCCTATGTTGTATGCATTTTACTGTGTTGTTATTGTGTTTGGGTTTTATTTTATTGTATTATGCTGTTGGGCTTGGCCTCTTGTAAGCCGTCCTGTGTCCCTATTGGGGAGATGGTGGTGGGGTATTAAATAAAGATTATTATTATTATTATTATTATTATTATTATTATTATTTGTGGGTAGTTTCTGGTAAAAAAAACAAATCTAGGGAAGTTGCATGTATAAATATATTTACAAGCTATATTTTCAGTTCTTTAAATATGACTTTTGCATACTCTCCAGCATTTCACAATAAATTAAAGAATCAATTCTTGTTGGATCACACAGAAAATCTCTAGTATTGGCCTTAAATCAACCTGTTTTAATGTTCTGATTTAGGCACCCCTGGGATGAAATTTTCTAAGGGATTTAAAATAAAGGTCACATAATCTCAGCAGTTACTCTGTTGACACACAAGGAAGAAAATTAACAAGTCAAACTGGCCTTAGTTCAAAGCAATTATCAGTGCTGATGAATGTGGGAATGCAGTGTGCTTATTCTAGCCAACACAGAGCAAGACAAGAGCATGTCAATTTTAGTTTTGGCCCTAAACATCACATTTCATAACAGTGACTGCAATGATCTGAAAAAGCACAACATAGTTCCATAATTGAAACCAAGGAGTTGTGGCTCTGTAAGGATGAATGAATGGGTGACTGCCTTGGAGACAGATGCAAATCAATCTGAGCTTTGAGGAGGAAGGACAGGTTAGAAATATAATTAAAATGACCTCACTCTAAAGTGTGTGTGGGTTTGTTTTTTTCATGGAATGTCCACGCCATACTTAGATTTTAATTCTGGTATCAAATGCTATTTTAATGCCCACCTATTTATATTATCTCATCAGTTTTCCACCCATGCCACTATGCATAAATAAAAGAAAACTGTATTTTTCATGAAGAGCACCACTTTTAATCAAATTACATTTTAATTACATGTTGTGTGAACATTTGGAGGGAACAAAAGTACTGTAGCTTTGTAATGAAGCAGTGAATTCACAGCTGTCTAGAAATAATGCATACAGTTAGTCAAACTATTCCTCAATAGTTCTCATTAAACCTCCTTAATCTCATCCAGGTGTCTTTCCCAATTATTTTATTTTCATATAAGATTACAGAGGAAAGAGACTTGCTTATGGATAGATGTTTCAGTTGGGGGAAATATCCACAACTTAGCAGAAGGTTAATGTTAACAGTAAAACCAAGTAAGAGCAGCAAAGGATGGGGGTAGAGGGATGTTCAAGGTGAAGTGCATTACTAGTGCTTACAGTTTTATTGTCTCATAGACTTTATTGTAACATAGAGCAAGGAGCACCCCAACTATGCTTTGAACAGGCCAACTAGTATATATGCTGGGATAACTGATAAAGAGTAACAGGAATGTTAGATTCATCCTTGGATTCCTTCAATTATTCTAAACCAGTGGTTCTCAACCTGTGGGTCTCCAGATGTTTTGGCCTTCAACTCCCAGAAATCCTTACAACTAGTAAACTGGCTGGGATTTCTGGGACTTGGAGGCCAAAACATCTGGAGACCCACAGGTTGAGAACCACTGCTCTAAACTAACTTTAAAGTGAAAAGGCAGTTTGTACTCAATTATTTATTTGTTTGTTTATTTATTTCGAGCGCTTCTACCCCGCCCTTCTCAACCCCCTAGGGGGGACTCAGGGCGGCTTACAAAAGGCACAATTCGATGCCTAACAGTTCACAAAATACAATATACAATATAACAACAACAATTATAACTAGTTAAAACAATCAAATGAAGACAATAGCAGCAATGAAATCATTTTGTGGTCAATGTTCACCAATTCATAAATCCATAGTCCATCCAGCATTATCATAGTCCTTTCCTACTCTGGTCATCATTGTCCTTTATCCATCTGCCAGCTTACCCAAAGGCCTGGTCCCATATCCAGGTTTTTAACTTCCTTCTGAAAGAGAGGAGGGATGTTGATGACCTAATTTCCCTGGGGAGTGAATTCCACAGGCAAGGGGCCACCACCGAGAAGGCCCTGTCCCTTGTCCCCACCAATCTCGCTTGTGATAAAGGTGGGGTCGAGAGCAGGGCCTCCCCAGAGGATCTTAAACTCCGAGGTGGGACGTAGAAGGAGATACGTTCGGACAGGTACGCTGGGCCGGAGCCGTATAGGGTTTTGTAAGTCAAAACCAGCACTTTGAATTGTGCTTTGAACTGGATCGGCAGCCAGTGGAGCTGACATAACAGGGGGCGGCATGCTCCCTGTGTGATGCTCCGGTGAGTAATCTAGCCACCGCCCGTTGGACTAATTGAAGTTTCCAAACAGTCTTCAAATGCAACCCCATGTAGAGCGCATTGCAGTAATCTATTCGGGATGTAACAAGAGCGTGGACCACTGTGGCCAAGTCAGACTTCCCAAGGTACGGGCGCAGCTGGCACACAAGTTTTAATTGTGCAAAAGCACTCCCAGCCACCGCCGAAACCTGGGCTTCCAGGCTCAGTGATGAGTCCAGGATCACTCCCAAGCTGCAAACCTGCGTCTTCAGGGGGAAACTAACAGGAGGCAAAGGAGAGGAGAATCAGGGTTGTACTCTGCCAAGTAGGCTCAACTAGGGATTTCCCCCCTCTTTTCAGGCTGTCCTAAATTTAGCAAAGTGGGCCTTCCGAATCCATGGGCTCCAGATCTGCAATTTCCAGCAATCACAGATCCCTACACCCCATATTAGTAAATGGCAGCAACATGAACATACTGAAGCATGCACATTCATGTCACTGCTTTTGATAATATGAGATGGGAACGTCCATGTTTTTTGTTTCTGTGGCAGACCTCAGAAATGAACTCCGGAAGATGCGGCGGGCCCACTGTACATAAATCCCTGCTTAAAATTATAGTTTTGCGTGTTTTGGCCTTCCCATTGCTTGGCCACATCCTTTCCACCACACTTCATATTTGGCTACATATTTACCAGTTTTTATCTGAAATATTGGAAGGTATACTAATGTGTAGCCAATGTGCCAGCCCCTAAGGCCACAGACCATTCACTACAATGCAGTCTGAGCCCTACTACATGCACAATAGAGGACCTTCTCACAGTGATACCAGAGGCACATGAAATGGCCAGCTTCTGATCAAAGAAAATTTAGCATAATGTCAAGTTTTTAATTTTGTGGAGTTATTTTTTACATTGTAATGGTATTCTCAATTTGCTTCCGACACAATCCTTGTCTTTTTCCTTCCTTCCCTCTTTCTTTCTCTCTTTCATTCCTTCTCTCCTTCCTTCCCTCTTTCACTTTTTTGTTTCCTTCTCTCCTTCCTTCCTTCCTTCCTTCCTTCTCTACCTTTCTTTCTTTCCTTTCCTCATTCTTTCCCTCTTTCTCTCCCCTTCTCTCCTTCCTTCTCTACCCTTCTTTGCTTCCTTCTCTTCTTCTCTCCCTCCTTCTCTCCCTCCTTCTTTCTTCCTTCTCTACCCTTCTTTCTTTCCTTCCTTCTCTCCTTCCCTCCCTCCTTCTCTCCCTCCTTCTCTCCTTCCTTCCCCCTTTCTGTGTATGTGTTTTGTGTGTGTGTGCGCGTGCATATATGTGTGTGTATATATGTGTGTTTGCATATATATGTGGTTTTGTGCATGTGTTGTAATGTAATTTTTGAGTTTTTTGCTTTTTAA